CAATTTGGTGTTCTAGCACTCTTCGTATTATAACACATTTTATATTAACAAACCGCGATAGCCTGATTACGTATACAAAAATTAATATGAAATTTGTGTCATAGGCAGCAATCACAGAAGTGTTTATGGGTTATACCTTCACTATTGACTTCTTAATGGTTATTAAACAATTTATACGCTCTTCAAAAAAATTCATTTAATAGTAATAGTTTAGACTATAGAACGTAGTTTTGAAATGCCTCATCAGCGCGTTCTGCAGGGGGTTGTCCATCACCGTGAAACTCTAGTGACAAGTTTATCGATGCGAAATATACGTGTCCATGGTGGTAGAAAGATGTCATTTTCTTAAATAACAAATGGTGTCAATACCTCTGTTTTTAAATTTTGTTAAATTTTGTAAAATTTTGGGGTTTAGACCACCATTGTTATCTTCGTAGATAACAAATTGTGTCAGTATTTTTTTTTTAATTTGGGGTAGGCAGACAATTATTGCACTCAGCTCTTTTCTTTTACATAACATTCAACAATGAAACACAAAAAAATATTTAACCGGTATTTCATTATTCCTTCGCCGTTATTAATGTCAAATGGGAAAAAACCTTATTTGTATTTAAAAAAAACATACTAAGAGTTTTATACAAATCAAAAAAATAAATAAACTAAATAATTTAATCAAAATATATTAACCCAGCTAAACACAAATCTATGTCTGTCGCCAGTGCATCTCCGTAGTATCTTTATTTTCTAAATCCAACTTCCCATTCCCATACAGCCAACTGCGAACTCGAACCGCAGTAGATGAAATATGTTCTAGAAATAATACAAACTATTGGCCTGCGTCAGAGAAAACACTGCTCAACAAAATTATACACAATGGTTTTCGAAGATGTAGCACTCACACAGGGCAATAACAACAAACAAAACACTGGCGTGTAACACCATAATAAATTAATTATTTGACAAACACAGTCTTTACAAACACTGTAGGAACATAATATAGTTTACAGTCAGTACAACTTTTTACACATTAAGAATATCAGGAGTGTTGCTGATAGATAACGCACGCATTAATAGCAAATATTTATTGAAGGCGGTCCCTTCCTTGTAGCTTTGCTTTTACGTGACGTAAGCGGTGCTGTAAGCAGTGATGCACTGTCTATGAGAATTCTGACGTAAATGTAATAGGAAATTAAACGGAAAACATCATCAATTATTTATCTTTTGGCCTCGAAATCGATATTGTTTCAATGCTCTTGTATTTTTCCTCTTATTCTGTGTTTCTAAAAATAATTTCGAATGAACTTAATTTTGCTAGTGACTTAAAAGTTTCGGAGGAGCAGTAGCAAATTAAAGGATGCCCTCTACATCGCAAGCAATAGTTCATTTGTTTTTTTATAATTCAGGAAATATCCTACAATGAATTAAAAAATATTTAATATACAAATAAAAGTTTGTTTTTAATAAGCGTATACTACGAGCAAACTTCGTAAATTATACTATACAAGAAATTCATGGAAATACTCTGAAAATATATAATTTAAAAATCAGAAAAAATCTCACAAGACCGGAATTTACCTCACGTATCTTCACTTTTTGGCAATAGAAAGAATGTCTCTGCCTCATTGACGGCGGTGTGAACGGGCAAACTCATCATATTCCCTCTAATCACCCGGCAACAAACTTCAACGACCGATAAACACAGACCAAAAATACTTATTGTTATCACAAACCAACAAAACCTTAGATACCTCTGAAATGGGCGCTGACGGAGTGACTTTCTTTCAATTCCTGCGCTCATTAGAAATGAGCAACACAGATAGTCAACTTCTAATACATTAACAATCTTACTTTAACTCTGACACCTATCTTCAGAATAAGTTTCCAAAATGTAATTTTATTCAGTCAAAAGTATACAAAAAAAATCCGTGAGACCACGTACGTGAACACGTACGCATCACAGACACCGACTGGCATACAGACCCAAAAAACTTTGCACAAAGTATGAAGATTTACAACTACAAATGTACTTTCTGCACATATTGTAAATAAAGTAACTTACAAGATTCCTAAAGAAATTAAAGTGTATTTTAAAGCAATTAATCTACTTTCGAAAAACTCGATTGTTTATTGAATACTTTTGCAGTAGTCAGTTGGCATCATTTTCGAATGAAGTTAATTTTGCTAGTGACTTAGAATTTTCTGAAGAGCAATATTCCAAATGCATTTTTATCATTAACGAAATATCCTTAGAATATTTTAAAAATATATTTAATAAACTAATATAAGTTTGTGTTTAGTAAGCTTATGCTGCGATCAAACTTCGTAAATTATACTATACATGAAATTCATGGAAATACTCTGAGAATATATCATTAAAAAAATCAGAAAATAACAAAGATAGTATTTACCTCAAGTATCTTCACTTTTTGCCGTAAGAAAGGATGTTTTTGGCCCCCTCGTCGGCGGTGTCAAAGGCCAAACTCGCCATACCTCTCTAATCACCCGGCAACAGATTTCAACGATCGATAAATACAGACAGACTTTACTTATTGTTAGCATAAGCGACATTGTTTCGATAAGAAATATACGAAGAGATTTCTTTAAGGCATACGAGTATGAAGATATACAATGCAATATGTTGATCAATGTTTAAACAGGCAGATCGAAGCGTGAATGCAGCGCTCTATTTCAACTTCCGCCAGAGCGGCGTTCCAGTGACGTCATCTGAGCTTGATCGATTTGTGATTCCGGGCGTGTCAACTGCTAACGTGATTAGTCCCTAAAGTACAGTGAGTGGTTTTGACACGGCGATGGCGGTGACCTGGCCTCGCTTAATGGCAGTATCCGGCGCCGACCTAAGCCAGCTCGCGGGATTTTCCCCCACCAAGTACCTCCCACCATTTGGCCACCGCCCCAACCGGCACAAGCTCCATGCTCCCGATAGATTTTTCCGGCACGTGTACTAGTGAGGTGCATGAAAGTGGGTGTTGGTAAGGAGGTAAAGGATAGAGAAGAGGCAGGAAATATCGCACGTCTATGGCCCGCTTGCTAAGGAACTGCTCCGCCATTCGCCTAGTGTTGAACTGGGAAACTACGAAAAACTACTGATCGGAACAGCCGGCCACTAGAATTTTGTCCAATATAGTGACTATCTAGCCAGTGTCGAAAATCCTGATACTGTCGCGAATCAAAACCTAGGACCAGATATTTGAAATTTTAATGATTCTAATTATTAAGTAAACATTCAATTCCAAATAGTGCATCATATATGTCGGCCTGCGTAGGAAGTTTGTGGTGTGCTGACTTTCGATCAACAGCATACCTATTTTTTGTGACGAAATTCAGTTCCAAATTTTAAATATATATTTCAACACTGTGCCTAATAATTTTACTCTAATGCAGATTTTAACAAAATGGACAGCGTCGAAGCACAAATTGGTCGATAGTAGTGATGCAATATTGCATCTACTATAACTATTTAGTTTAATTTTTTTTTAATCTTCTTAAAACCTACCAGTAAAATAACTTAGATATATTTAAAAAAATGATATACAATTGAATGTTAACAGAATATCTAGTAGATGCAACCTTGAAGCAAAACTATTTTATAAACAAATCATGTTGTATAAAAGTAATTTGACATTGCCCTGCGTCATTTATTTAGATTAAACCATAGTAAGTCATCTTTACAGCGGTAGCGAGAAAGTAAAATAGTAGTAAAATAAAAGAAGTAAATTACCTGAGGCCCTTGTCTCTCGGCTCGGTTCAAGAACTGATGTCATTGTGACGCCTGACCGCCGGCAGCGGGCACCCCTCGTTGACCAAGCGGCAACAAATATATGACATTGTTCCTTCCGTTCTATTGTTGCACATACACACTGACGTCACCTTTTTGGTAAATTCTTTACAATATAACACGTGTGGTCAGTTTTGAGAGGTAAAGGTTTTTCAATGATTAATATAATTGAATTGGTTAAAACAAAAACGTTCGATGTTCAGCAGCTTCAAATTTGGAAGAGCAAGCACAAAATTTGAAAGAGGGTATAAAATGTTCCCTTTAAAAGACTCTCGCTATTAATCGCATGAATCCGCCATCTTCTGTTTTCTACGTTTCATGTGACACACAAGTGCTAACGACGCGGTATCCCGGTTCACCAAAGGGCGTTCGCTGCCAGGCAGTGATCGTGCACGTGTAGCCTGCCAACCAACGGACGTGAACGACGTACGTTTTGCGACGCTCGTGTGTAGCTAGCCTTATAGTGGTATAACTACTTAACTCTCCCGATGCTTACACTATTCTTATTATCTCATCTTCAGTCAACAGAGTCCCCTATTTACCCCTTATTTATTACAATTATTTAACTTTAGAGCTCAATATTTCAAATTTAGTGTGAATGGATTTGTAGAATAATAATTGGATCTTTTCTCTGCTAATGGAAAAGGATACGCAACGCCATTAGAAAGGAGAACCAATGTAATATTTTCTTTGAGGTCTCCACTGCCTTCATCCAATAATAACATATCCATCATGTTCATAGTTAATAGTAAGTCAGTTTAATCATTAATGTATTGAGAAACTACTACGGGATGATTGTGGGGAAGGATGCTACGAAATTGAATTCTTGTTTAACAAATTATATTAAAGTCA